ATTAGACTAATAATTCACAACAAAATTATATCCTATCAGATATTTATATTGATCAAGTATAGCGAAATTTTAAGAAATTATCTGAATATAAGTTAAACTATTTTTTAACTAAAGAAGGCTAATAATTATCTTAGATTAATTATTAATTTAGATAATTTTAACTTTACAATAAAGTAATCTATAGTATAAGAGTTTTATATGCAGCAATATGTAATTTATCTTGCAATATTTAGTTTTGACTAAAAATATGCTTATATTTAATATATTACTAGGGTTTATAAAGTTAGCTTATATAAGATAAACCATTATCTTATATCTATAATTATAGAATTTGAGTCACTTTGAAAAGGAGTAACTCTTAATTATATAAATGAATGTTTAAGTGATAAAGATATTTGAACAGTATTAATTATAGCTTTATATAATATTCTTATAGCTCAAAAATTATGTAATCATATATCTGCTCTTATATTATATCACTGCTGTAATAAGAAAATAAATTATATTAATAACTAATATAATTATAGTAATATAGTAAATATTGATGAATAGTTTATTAAAAAAATTTTGACAAAATATTAATAAAATGCTTTATACTGGTAACAATATAAAACTAATACTAAATAATTTAGATTTATCAAAAAATAAAATTAGATGGTCAGAATTACTGTAGCTAAAGTATTTTAATCTGATTAGATTATTATTATAAATTCTATACATTACCTTTTCTTAGGCATTTTTAAATGGATTGTAAAAAGAATTTGGATTAATAAAAATATATTAACGTAGAATATTTTCTAGTCAATATAAAAGAAAATAAATGATTTTAAGTATTAACTGATTTAGAACGAGTTCCTAGAAATATTTTTAGAGATAAAAAGTTTTCAATTTTATAATAGACCAATGGTAAAATTTTTCTAATAAATATTATTAATGATAATCTGTATACAGTATGTTACTAAATAGTTGCATTAATTATGATTATAATAATTTTCATAAAAAGTATGATCATTATTATTACTAATTTTATTGCTATCATAGTTATCATTATTTATTAATATATTTATTTTATTATTTATTATTATTTTATTTATTATTTTTATTATATTAATTATCTCTTTCTTATATTTGTATTTTATATAAATATCATGTATTATTATTTTAGCAAAGGAATAAGTTTCTATTTTACAATTTAATAAAGTATAATCTTAATAACATAAACTTATATCTCTGCTAATATCTATTGTTTTAAAATATAAATTCTTGTTAAAAATAATCTAACCCTTTAATTTAAATAAATTTGTATTTATTTTTTTTTAATTTATGACTTAAACTTCTATTAGTAAATAAGCTTTATTATCTAAATAAAGCATAATAATATTATGAGATTATCTTTTATTAAAAGATTGAAAAATTCTTACATACATTGTTAAAGTATATAAAAATTTAGTTAGACAAACTGTAGAGATTAATGAAATAGATAAAGCTCATAGTGGATTAATAATAATTATAAAATTAATCAAAAGGCATTATAGCAAAAAAAATTATGCTGAATCTTTATCTTTTGTTACTCTTATTTATAGTTATAATTCTTTATATTCATTCTAGTATTTTTATCCAAATATATAAATGAAATATTAGATAAAATGAATTATTTATTAATTTTTAATTTTTAACTTTCTTTGGTTAATAGTTTCATTTTATTTTATTAGACTCATTATTTAATAGTTAATATTAAATTAAAATTAAACTAATATGTAAACTAATGATCAAAACAAAAATAAATAACATTGCTAATTTAAGTTTAGAAATAAAAAGACTTAAATTATTCGATATTTGATCTTCTATTGGATTACTTTCTGATATTAATAAATTTTTGACAGAAGAATATATTAATTTCTAATAAATTTAAAGAATATATTAAAATTACTGATTACTGGTGTAAAAATTTTTTAGAAAAATTTTTACTATTATAATCTAAAAATATTTAGCTTAAAGAATTAACATATAGACGTTTTACAGTAAAAAGAGAGAAAACTACCAAAAAATTTTTTTAGTTAATGTTAAATCTGAATTTATTTTATTAAAAAAATAATATTTAGCTTATAAAGTAAAAAAATAATTTTAGTAGTTTCTCTCCTTTATTATTATAAAATACCATATAATTGTCTTATCAAATATTACATAAATATATATATAAATTTAACATTTAAAAAACTATTTACAAACAATTGTTAATAGTTATTAATAAGAAAAAATAATATGAAAGATGTTAAATTAAATTAAAGATTTTTAAAAATGCTACTTTAATGTGACATATTAAAAGCTTTTTTTTTTTATTCAAATTTATTAATTGTGATAAAAGAAGTATTAATATAAACTCTAGTCAAATTCAATATTTTTTTAAATATAATATTTATATAAACTCATAAAATTAATATATAAATTAGCCTATATTATATATTATAAGCAGTTAATTCATCTTTGATTTAATTTTGCTTAATCATTAATAATGATGCTAAAACTTGTAATGTTAAATTGTTAGAGAACAGTTTCTATCCAATCAGTAAGAATTATATAATCTTAATATATAATATTTAGATTAGATTATACTTATAAAATATAAAATATTAAATCAGTCTAATGCTAGAGAATTTTTAGTGATTATTTCATTAAATAGAAAATTTCATTTATATTAAAATTTGAATATTAATATTATTCTATTCAAAAGTTATAATAAAATTTATATCAAATATTATTTTATAAATAGTCTAAATTGATAATAAATTTTGATTACCCTAATAATTTATTTTATTAATTACACAGAACATATGGCTATTATTTGATAAAATTAAATGTAATCCTAAATATATATTATTATTAATAATATCTAAATGATCTTAATTTCAGTCTAATATATACCAAATTTTAATATAGCTGAATTTTTACTTTTGATTAGTTTAACTATTTAATATTATTTATTTACAGTATTTATCAATAGACACTTTAATAATAAATATTTATTATTATATATAAACAAATTAATATATAATATTATTAAACGTATTTAAGTAAATAACAGATTATATTTAAATTAAAAAAGTAATAATCACATTTTTCAATTATTAAATAATAATATAATAACCTTAAAAATACTTTTACAAAAATAATTGATTTATAATTAGAAAGAAATATAAAATTATTATTATTTATTGTCTGTTTATTAATAAAATACATTTAATCAATATTTAAATTTAATACTAAATGATATTAAAAAATATACTGCTAAATATTTCTAAATTATTACAGATTCAATTAATTAAGATATTATAATTGATATTTCATCTAATTTTAAATTAATATAAAATGAATAGAAAACCTTTTATAATCTCATTAATTATATTGATAATAATATATATTCTGATCTTAATAATATTTTTCTCTAAATTAATAGTAAGATATTATCAAATATTAGTAGCTAGTTCATTCTAATATCTAATAAATGTTAAAGAAATTAGGTTAAAAATACAGAATTTTTTATATAATATTATTTGTATTTGCTAATATTTTTGTGTAATAAAATATAGCTTATATATTTTTAATACTAAAAACTAAAAGCTTAGAATTATAATTTAAATAATATAAAACCTATTATCTTATAAGATATTATTTTAAAAACTTTTGTAAAGATTCTAAATTAGTACTTTTAGAATATTTTATTAAATTTAATGTAATAAAAGACTTAACTTTGTAAAATTATCTCATCAATTAATACTTGAATCCTTTATATTATCAATAATATTCTTGAATATTATTGTTTTAATTACAAATTTTATAAATCAGATTATACAAACTTATATATTCTTTTTTAAGATAAATTTAAAACTTATAACTGTATTTATATATTTTTATTAAAAAAGCTATAAAGTGTTTATATATTTTATTCATTAAAATAATTAAAAACTTATTTTTAAATAAGAGAAACTTATTATTCACTGTTTAGAATAATACTGATTTTTATGATATGATTATGAGTACTAATCAAGAAGAGAGGTTATCTTTCCTTTTCTAAAGGTAATTTATTATGTTCTTTTCCTATCAAAAGTTTAGCTACTTAACTATGGATATTAAATAAATTTTATATAAAAATCTGATATTACAAAAAAAGATAGATATTAAAGAACTTTCTATCTTAATACAATATGAATTTTTAATAGCATTGAAAAATTTATTTAATCTTTAATCTTGCACAATTTTTTTTTGATTCAATTCTATGAAAATGAACTATAAAAAATCTTTTATTTTAACTTCTAAAGTAACTTAAAAATCATAATAATTATAATTTTTTACTGTAAAATATGACCAATTAAAATTTCTTAATTTTTAACAAATTTTACATATAAACAATAAATCTAAAAATATCCTTTGCATAATACATGATCTTTTGTAATGAATACTACCAACACGGTAGTATGAACCATAAAGCTACTTTAGTTTAAAGGGAACAAAATACGTTTTACGTTTTAAGGAACACCTGCCGATACTTTGACGATCATTTTAAGTTGAAGCTTTAAAAGTTAGCTAACTAGGAAACGGGAACCGTTGTTGAGTCCGAAGCGATCTTGACACTTTTCAAAATCGGAGATTTCATTGGTTTAAAATCACGTGAGCAGACAGAACACAATGATTACGTGACCGTAAAATTTTCATAGCGCATAAACGTATATTGTTCTTCGCTTCGCTCCGGTTCGATTTTTAAAATTGGTTAAAATGGTTTGTAACTCAGAAAAACCCAAAATATGTTGAATTTATAATCGATTCCAGAACCGACTCGGAGTCGCTCTTTTGAACCGTCACCATCCCTAGTGACGCAACAGTATACATACTGTATCTGCAACCATGATGTGTTTAAACGAGAAAATAAAGTTTGAGGCATAAAAAAAAGGATTATTTCGAGCAAAAAAAAAAAGTTTCAAGCTCTTCATGCTAAACACGACGATATGGCCTTCAACAATCCTCGAATTACTTTGTTTACGGTTATAACGACATATAATGTGACGATAAAAATGGGATTTTCGATTTTCAAAATTATTTGTCATGGAACAAAGGGAGTTATTACCGATACTTCCTGTATTGTTGAATAAAGACTCTCAATCAAGATTCTAATATTCGTTATGTATCTTAAAGTTATTGATTTAGATTACTAGGAAACTGTTTACCGATTAAGAATGTCATATAAATTACATCTATCTCTAATGTAAGCTTAATTAAAAGTTATTTCATCACAACGAAAAAAAAAGTAGCAAGTTAAGGAAATTTGTTGGGATGTTAATTAATTATTTCATTACGTAATCCTGTCAAATTTGCGGTAGAGTAACCGAGAATTTCGTGTTCTATTCCATGGTTTTCGTTTATAAAATCCAAATTAAAAAATATAAAATTTATGACTAATGATGTTTATTGTATATTGATCATATCGAATACTAATTTATCAATTTATCAAATTTATTATTATTATTATTATTATTATTTCGTTTTTTATCATTTCTATGTTTTATTTTTTTTTTTTTTGTCGTTGAAATGTTCAATATGTCCTCAGGACATTATGTTTTCCTGGCCAATAGTATCCTCCGGACAAATCGACTGAATGACATGTTCCTTGTACATTATGTAGTCCGAACAAACTGTTTTTGGATCAAGAAAAATATATAAACGATGTCCTTCGACGGGATTTAAAAGTAGTACGCTCAGCCTTGCATATAATTACAACATTTTGCCACATGGTAATTTTTCACAAAATGTTCTTAATTTAATCATAACTGGTTATAATATAAATATAGACGTGATTATAAAATGGTTCTATATGATGTGATTATATACAGGGTGATTATAGACAGGTTCACCCTCTTTAAGTTTTAAATTATAATTTAGTATGTTGTAATTGTCTAGTTTAATGAGGCAGTATTTTGATCGATTGATTTTTATTAAATAATTTATATCATATTTATCTAATATTAATCTTTTACCATTCCTTTTGTTTATCAATATAAATTTAATTAAATATAGTCTTTAAAAGATTGATTATAAGTATGATTTTGATAAATATTGCAATATTCGAATTTTTCTCCAAATTTCTCTTTCGACGACGTCGAGAAGCGTGACCAATACGAAAGAATCGTATCTGTACGGTAATGATACGAATTTTACGAAATAAGTCTGTGCTATAAAAGATTAGATCAACGTGATATTAACATGATAACATGAATTAAAATAATAAAAGAATTAGCATTTTGGTTAAATATAAGCGCCAGATCAGAGTTAAATGCAAATTTTTTGACTTGGTCAAGCAATCATTTTTTAATTCTTGATGATTTTGAAATAATCAAAAAAATTCATTCAATCATAAAGTAAAAAATATTTTTTTAATGCTATGTAAATTAAAACTGAGCGTTAAATTTATACTAATAGAGCATTTGATGGTGATCAATTTAAAAATTTTTGACTATTACTATCTTTTAATTTGATGAAAATTCGACTCTTGGAACCGGTCCGGAGCTGAGCTAACAGTTACAAATGCACATGGTATAATTGTCGATCTCCGCAGTACGTGACCACAGTAATTTTGTCATATTTGGAGAAATTCCGAAACATTCTTTAATTTTGTTCAGAAGATTTTATTAACGCATCTATAAAGGAATAATAATAATAATAATTATAAAAAGTTATCACAACTTGGCCTCTTTTCATGATATTTTCGAAGTATTTTTATAAGTTTATTTATCAATTATTGAATAATTAAAAGATTTAAAGTCGTTGGAATTGCTCATCCCCTTGTATCTTTCTTTTTTTAAGTATCAAATTTGGTCAATAAACTACTAAACATTGTAAAAATCTGCATTGCCGTAGGTGGTAAAGACGCTATTCTTTCATTTTAAAATAGATTAATAATTAGTAGAACAACCGCTATAAAAAAAATTTTATTTTGTTTTATATAAAATTTCAAAATATTTTATTGAATTATTAAATTATGTATTTATAAAGCCACATCGTTAAATATAATATAAAAAAAGTGATGACCAAGAAAACATCCTAAAAATGTCCGATTATCTAAAAAATCTCAACAAAAAGCGCCACAATTCTACAAGGAACTGGTATGCAATGCATGTATATGATGTACATAGTACATTGTGTATCAAAAACATTACATTATTTTGAAATTATGTAACCTCGGTACGGAGAAATGTTTCAGTTATGCATCCGATTTAATCTTTGTTCCTTAATTTTTCTGTAGACCAGAGAGAGAATTCACCTTATATAATAAAACACATTTTTTACATTTAAATACAAGCATGACAAAATCTGAAACAAAACATGACGAATTCCTATACATATCAGAAACGATTAATTCAACAGATAATATGAACATGTTAGTTGATAAATTATTTATACTATTGGTTAAAATACAAAATGAAGGTAAAAATTTCAGTGAAACGAACCATTTTCTTAATAAATGCATAACTCTTTCTACTCAATCAGCTGAAAATATTTTTAATTGGCTTAAAGAAAATCAAAATGAATCAAAAAATGTTTTCTTTCTTGGAATTTTTTATTATTACAATATGCTCAACTTAGATGAAAATAATAGTAAAGGATTCATATACTTTTTTAAAGCAGCTGAAAGATGTCCTATTGCACAAGTATACTTAAGTAGATGTTATATTGAAGGATTTGGTATTGAAATCAATAAAGGTTTAGCATTTTGGTGGATAAAAAAAGTTGCAAAAAATGGATATATTAATGCAATGTTTAATTTAGCTTTATACTATAAAAATGGTAAAGAAACTGTTATTAATTTAGAAAAGACATATTATTGGTATCAAAAAGCTGCAGAAAATGGATATATTAATGCAATGTTAAATTTAGCTTTTTGCTATGAAATTGGTAAAGGAACTGATATTAATTTAGTAAAAGCATTTTATTGGTATCAAGAAGCTGCAAAAAATGAAAATGTTGATGCAATGAATAATTTAGCTTTATATTATGAAAATGGTAAAGGAACAGATATTGATTTAGAAAAGACATTGTATTGGTATCAAAAAGCTGTAACAAATGAAAATGTTGATGCAATGAATAATTTAGCTTTATGCTATAATTATGGTAAAGGAACTAATATTGATTTAGAAAAAGCATTGTATTGGTATCAAAAAGCTGCAAAATATAATAATAATGCAATGTTTAATTTAGCTTTATATTATGAAAATGGTGAAGGAATTGATATTGATTTAAAAAAAGCATTTTATTGGTATCAAAAAGCTGCAGAAAATGAAAATGTTAATGCAATGATTAATTTAGCTTTTTGCTATGAAAATGGTGAAGGAATTGATATTGATTTAAAAAAAGCATTTTATTGGCATCAAAAAGCTGCAGAAAATGAAAATATTGATTCAATAATTAATTTAGAATTATGCTATGAAAATGGTGAAGGAATTAATATTGATTTTAAAAAAACATTCAATTGGTATCAAAAAGTTGCAGAAAATAAAAATGTTGATTCAATGATTAATTTAGCTTTATGCTATAAAAATGGTAAAAGAATTGATATTAATTTAAAAAAAGCATTTTATTGGTATCAAAAAGCTGCAAAAAATGAAAATGTTAATGCAATAAATAATTTAGCTTTTTGCTATGAAAATGGTGAAGGAATTAATATTGATTTAGAAAAAGCATTTTATTGGTATCAAAAAGCTGCAGAAAATGGATATACTAAAGCAATGTTTAATTTAGCTATTTGTTATGAAAATGGTAAAGGGACTGATATTAATTTAAAAAAAGCATTTTATTGGTATCAAAAAGCTGCAGAAAATGAAAATGTTAATGCAATGTTTAATTTAGCTTTATATTATGAAAATGGTAAAGGAATTGATATTGATTTAAGAAAGCATTTTATTGGTACCTAAAAGCTGCAGAAAATAAAAATGTTAATGCAATAAATAATTTAGCTTTTTGTTATGAAAATGGAGAAGAAATTGATATTGAATTAAAAAAAGCATTTTATTGGTATCAAAAAGCTGCAGAATATAATAATGATGCAATGTTTAATTTAGCTTTATGTTATGAAAATGGTAAAGGAATTGATATTGATTTAAAAAGGGCATTTTATTGGTATCAAAAAGCTGCAGAAAATGAAAATGTTAATTCAATGATTAATTTAGTTTTATGTTATAAAATTGGTAAAGGAATAAAAATAAATTTAACAAAGGCATTTTATTGATATAAAAAAGCTGCAGAATATAATAATAATGCAAAATTTAATTTAGCTTTATGCTATGAAAATGGTAAAGGAACTGATATTAATTTAGAAAAGGCATTTTATTGGTATCAAAAAGCTGCAGAAAATGGATATATTAAAATAATGTTTAATTTAGCTCTTTGCTATGAAAATGGTAAAGGAACTGATATTGATTTAGAAAAAGCATTTTATTGATATCAAAAAGCTGCAGAAAATAATAACAAATTTGCACAATATAATTTAGGAAATTATTATTATTATGGAATATTTGTTGTAAAAAATATTAATAAAGCATTTGAATGGTATAGAAAATCAGCAAAGCAAAATTATAAAAATGCACAAAATGATTTAGGATATTTTTATGAAAAGGGTATTGGAATTAAAAAAGATTTAAAAATGGCATTTTATTGGTATCAAAAATCAGCAAAAAATGAAAATTATATTGCTCAATGCAATTTAGCTATTTGTTATCGATATGGTTTAGGTATTGAAAAAGATACAATTAAAGCATTTAAATGGTATAAAAAATCAGCAGAAAATAAAAATGAATTTGCACAATATAATTTAGGATTTTATTATGAAGAAGGTATTTTTATTAAAAAAAATTTAAAAAAAGCATTTTATTGGTATCAAAAATCAGCAGAAAATGAGAATGATATTGCACAATACAAATTAGGTTATTTTTATGAAAAAGGCATTAGAATTAAAAAAGATTTAAAAATGGCATTTTATTGGTATCATAAATCAGCAGAAAATAAAAATAAAGATGCACAATTTAATATAATTAAATGTTATATAAATGGAATAGGAATTAATAAAGATTTAAAAAAGCATATAGATGGCATCAAAGATTAATGAAAAATGAGAATAAATCTGAAAGGAGTTTTGGAAAATATGAAGACAATATTCAAAATATTA